CCTTAATCTTCGAATTGGTTCCCGCTTATTATTTTTTGCAGACTGTAAGAGCAATTTTATAAACGTAAACTTGAACTTTCGATTATGTCAAATAGAATTTCCGATGCTGGAACTTCCAAAGGATCTACAAAACGAAAGTATGTTTTGATGTCCAACAAACAAAAAGTGGAATTGCTCCAAAAAATGGATAAAAACATGAAGAATGTGACAGAGGGGTTAGTGAAAACGAAAAAATTTCGATTGACAAGTTAGTCGGTATTCTCGGCACAGCAATTAACGGGACCTTGAACAGCGGAACTTTGTAACTGAACAAGAAATTATGTCTGTTTATAGAATTAAAGAGAAAGTATTATCTCATAAAATGAAGCAACTTAAACAACTTACATTGAAAGAAATGTTTAATAAAGTAAACAAATAAATATTAAGCTTTTTCTTTCTTTCTTTCTTTTTTCTTTTTTTTTTTTGTAAATTTTGATACCCTTAAATCATAATTGTTCTTTATTTCATAAATTACGGTTTCATATTTTTAATTTTAGAATTTCTGCATGCCATCTTACGATATTTAAACTGATGATCTATAATCCGGAAAAATCGTTAATCCGAAATCGCCGAAGTCCCAACGAGTCCAGATTAACGACTTTTGGCTGTATTATTAGTTATTCTATATTCAGTTATTTTTAATATTTTCTAAAGATACAAGAAATTTAATTCCTTTAAAATTCAAGTTATTTCCCAGTTTCTTACTCTTTTTGGATGAACTTTTATTAATATAATTTTAATTATCATAATTTTTATTAATATAATTTAATTAATATAATTTTTAATATAACTAATATAATTTAGAATTAAATTTTAAAGAAATTTAATTCCTTTAAAATTTAAGTTATTTCCCAGTTTCTTACTCTTTTTGGATGAACTTTTGTCTGTTGTCAATTTATATAAGATTATTTTTATGAAGATGAATTCTTTGCATGGTAATTACGTCTATTTTTTTGGGCACATAAGAATAGTTTTTACCATAGCCACAATCAAATTTTATGTATTTAATTACAGATGTATAATTTTAACGAATAGAACAATAAAATTTACCTTTCGATAATAATTATATCTAGTTTTGGTATTATTGCAGATTTCGCTATCCACATATAAGCATTAATTTTTTAGAAAGTGATTCCGAATGTTTTCATATTCAGTTTTAGATTTTATATTCGTATCATTCAGAATCTTGTAAATGTTACATAACTTTTCATAATACAGTCAAAAGTCTTTAATCCGGCGATTCCGAAATATTGATTTTTCTGGATTATAGATCATCAGTTTCAATCTGGTAAGATGGCATGCAGAAATTATAAAATTAAAAATAGGAAACTGTAATTTATGAAATAAAGAGCAATTATGATCTAAAGGGTATCAAAATTTACAAAAAAAAAAAAAAAAAAAAAAAAAAAAAAAAAAAAGAGCTTAATATTTATTTGTTTACTTTATTAAACATTTCTTTCAACGTGCGCATGCATAAAGCATACATTACGCATAGTCGGAATTAGAAAATTGCAACCAGAGAAAACTATTTGATGTGTACTCGTGATATTTATAATGACGAGGAATTTGATTTAAATCATATCTAAGACGGAATACATCAAGATGAAATACTACATTTAGTAAGGAATTATAAGCTGAATAAAATAAAAACATCTGCCCTGAAGATAAGGATTGTGCTGACAGATCAACTTCCAGTTCGTTGCGTGCCGTGACTTCCGCCCCCCACCTCCACAGAGCAGCGTGAAATTAATAAGCAGATAGATTTCGGAATGGTTAGAAAAATAAAGGATATGCCTTTATCCATTTTGCAGCAATTCCACTTTTTGTTTGATGGACGTCGAAACATACTTTCGCTTTGTAGATCCTTTACATATTAGTAAATATATATCGGAAATTCTATTTGACATAATCGAAAGTTCAAGCTTACTTTTATAAAATTACTCTAACAGTCTGCAAAATATAATAAGCCGGATCCAATTCGAAGATTAAGGAACAACACAATCTGCAACATTAACTGAAATAGATAATTTTAGCTTAGCTTATACCATCCATTATACATTAAACGTGCATGCGTAAACGTATTATAGTAAACGTATTATGCGCAAACGCATATGCGCATGTGTAAACGCATATGCGTTTGCGCATGAGTGAACGCATTATACGTTCACACATGCGTAGAAAGTTTGTAGCTTTGAGGTCTGGATTATGGGTGCCCGGATTAACGACTTTTGACTGTATATGAATATTTAGCAGATATTTTTTGAAACCTGAATTCCAAAAGTAAGGCATAATTTTATCCATTTCTGAAGAAAAGATCAGATTGTGTTTTCTTTTTAATTTTTCAAAATGATAAATTCTCTCTCCGCTTATGTGTTTGCTCTAAAATCTCATACATATCTCACAAGCAAAAATATTTTTCTTCTGAGTCATATTTGGCCTTTTTATTTACTTCGGTATTTTTTCTGTGCTCATATTTATCAAAAGTTGTTTTATAAATGAAATTCTTTCTTCATTGCTGAGTCACTTGCCCTTAAGTATGTTCCACTTGCATTTTTAGAACTTCCTGTGCTCACTTTTATTTTTTGGCATGATTCCGATTATCCAACTCAGCATTCATTAAGTGCAGAGTTTAAAAAAAAAAATCTGACTTGGAACACAAAATATTTGAAAAGAATATTTATAAGAATTAAGTTTATATTTTCTTTATTTATACAAATACCAGACATTTGGCCTGTTAGCCTTGATCTTGGTTCCCATTACTTACGAACAATAGGATTAGAAGATAATAGTGCAGTGCATTCGTCAATATACTCCTTATCCACAAATTGTCCATTGTTACAAAGAGTACTGACAGAAGAGTCCATGAGTCGAATTTTAAAAAGATGGGCACTCAGACAATCATGCTCAGTCAAAAGATAAAACAATGTCAGGGCTACAGGACGAGGAAAATCTGGAATAACTGGCTTTGAAATAGTGAGACACCCCAGGCCTTTCTCTAACATCATTTGATAGGTAGGAGGCAAACGTCCTCTTAAGTTCTAATTTAATTAGGAGTTTTGCAGAATTAAAAATCATATGGTTATTAGTAGTTTGTAGTCATTAATTTCTTTGCCAGAAAATCGGCTCGTTCATTTTCCTCAATGCGAGAATGCGCAGAGACCCATTGCAAGACAACTGAGTCAGCCAGAGCGTTGAGAATCCTCCTACATTCGTAAATGTGTTCAGAAGTACAAAATGTATTGTTTGGAGATAGCCTGCAAAGCAACTTTGCTGTTGGACAATATAACAGCCTGGGAGAAATTTACTTTTCTGAGTGCTTAATTGATTCAGAGCAATAAATATAGCCTCATCTTCACCATCAAAAGAATTAAATTAAATTTATATGTAAGAGAATTATTTTAATGAAATAGTTTAAAAGAATATCTAATCTGTCTAATCTTATAGCTATAGGAATCTATTTCCTAACCATTTAACAAATAGTTTATTTTTTCCCCCTTTACTTTTTTCAGTTTTATAAATTTCATCTTTTTTAGCATCTTTCACCATTTTTTTTTTTTTTTTCATTAGAACTTCTTTTAATTTCATTGTTATCAAAATCATTTTGTCTAAATATTTCAAGAAGACTTCAGAAATAATGAAAATCTCTTTTGTAAATGAGGGATCAATTCCCCTTTTAAACGTGTTTTTAAATATTGAGATTCTAATTGTATCGCCAATTTTGACTTTCGACCTTTTAATTTCTCTCGACTTATATAAATTCTTATAAATTAAAACTTTGTTATCTTTAACCATCTTATCAGTTATCTTTATCTGATGCTTTTACATGTGTCATTTTTATAGATCAAGGATATGAATGGTTATAATTTTTAACTAGTTTAACTAATGTGTTTTAGTTTATCTAATATGTTTTAGTTCTGTTTGCATCCAGATATTTTCATGCATAGTCTAATCTTTCAACTATGGCACATATGATACCTGCATTTTTTGTAGTAAATGAATGAATAGTAATATTTTTAAATATATGTTGAGTATCTTTATTAATAAGCCCTGTACTCTTATGTGTTTAAATCTGTGTGGAAATGTGTTCTGTAAAGATCTTTTAAATGCATTTTTCACTTCTTCATCGTTTTTCTTCCTTTAGGAAAAGGCCAAACAATGAATTACCTTTACTAAATAGTTTGTTCCTACATTATATTTACTAAGGGACTTTAAGAATAATAAATCTGCTTGTCATTGATCATCAATGCTAAGAACATATATTCTTCTTCTGCTGAGTGGTTTATATTTTGTATAAATGCATCTTGTTGATCTTTGAAAGTTTTAATTTCCTTTTGAGGTGTTTTAGTTTTTCTTTGCAATTCTTTCATGCCACAATAACTGGTTTCAGGATTCTTCTTCATGGAATAATAAATTTAATTTAAAGTTCTTGTATTTCTTTTAAGTTCTTTTACAAGTATGTATCTGTGCGTGTGTGTGTGTGCAAGTGTGTATTTGTCAAAATTATTTTTACTTTTGTAAGGTTTTTTTTTTTTTTTTCCTAAGTTTTTTTAGTTGTCTTATGTTCTCTTATTTTACACATTTCACACATGTCCCATATGTATTTTTCGGAAGAAATTAAGCATTTTAAACTAATGATCTTATCATACATGCTTAGTTCAATCATTTTTATTGTTTATAAAATTGTCTCGTTGCTCAATGCATATGAAATTGAAAAAAGAGAATTAACTATATGGTAAAAACTTTTCACGTAAAATGCTAAGTATATAAATAAGAAGAAGTTAACGACAGAGATATGTGTTAATACTTTAATAAATATCAATTTTTATTGTTCAGATTATCGAAATTTTAAATGCATATTGCTTTTGTTTTATAATATTATTTAAAATTCTAATGAAGTTGCGATTTGAAAAAATGATTCAGCAACAAAATGTACATTCGTAATTATTGTATTTTTATTTTAGCTTCCCATTTCAAGGCAAGATTAAAACACGGGCAATGAAAATAAATTGGTAATCAACATTTTTAGTTTAATATTTTCTAGCATTTTAAGATAAATGAGAAATATTAGGCATACAGAAATATTTAAAATGTTATAATAATTAAATGCAAAAGTACACAAACTATAAAAAATTATAACTAGAAATAAATTAGTTCTCTGTGTATGTTCACTGTAGGTTAATAAGAAGCATAATTGCAGAATTCATTAATATTTAACTCAAGAAAAGTCATCTGAAGGACCACACCGGTTTTTATAGGGAACAGAAATATTTCAAATCAAAAACAAGAAAAAAAAAAATTTGTTTTGTATTCATGCTGGTTTGATAGAAACTGATTGATTTCTAAGGTTTCAAACATTCTTCCATTGACAAAAACATTTCTTTGTTGTCACTTTTCATTGCTCACATGTTTATCTTTAAAAAGTCAATATGTAAATTCTTTGCAATAGCTTACTGCAGTATTGTGATATATTATCTATACTAGTTTTCTCGACCATTACCCCCCTCCCCCTGCTTTCGAAAACTCGAAAAATACAAATGCAATTATGTAAATTTAGGTTATTTTTTAATATGTTTTATGAATTAAATAAGAAAAAGTATAGAAAATCTTAATGAACACCAAAAATTGAATAACAGTTTCACCCCCCCCCCCATATATTCGTAAAATAGATGCTTAACCGGTAAATAAAAGACTGACTGCATTCCTCTCCTGAAACTATGAAATTCCTCTAAAAAGGAGAATTCCTCCACCCAGTTGATAATCCCTGGTGTATATAGTATTTAGATCTAAAATAGCACTTTGCCTGTCATTTATGATTGCTACTATTTAATCAGAAACCTCATTTGTTTTGTCTTTATGAAGTCTACATATCTAAAGCAATTCTTACAATTTTTAGAAGTCTATTACAGAATGTGGCAGAATAACAAAATGCTTTTGGAATGTGTATTTATTATTGCAACTGAGAAATTCTATCATATCTTAAAATAATAATACTTTAAATCCATTTTTATACTCTCAAATAACTTTTTGCTTCTGTTATACCTTATCCTGAACAGAAATCAGTTACTATTTGAATTGATGTGGAGTGAAATTTAAATGGAAGTTTAATTACTCTGCCAACTATTTATTTTATTTAAAAAAATATCATTTTATATTGATCTAGGATCAGTATGGTAAATAATGGCATGTAGCAGATCTGCTTTTACCATTTATATTGAAAGTTTGCACTAAGGCGTTGATGTTATTTTTCAAGTTGACGCAAGCGTAAAAAACACTTCTCTAATAAGAGTAATGCTCTAAGTATGTTGAAGTACTGAATCAGAGATAAAAAAATTATCATGTTTGTTGAAAGCCGGTAGAGCTGTGTTGGTGAATGTGATTCGCCAAAGCCTTTTATAAATTTAAGCCAGTTGTCAAAACCAGTCACATGAGAGGTTACCCTCCCAAGTACTGACCCCAAGAGAAGCATCTTGGTAGAAACATAAAGTTTTGATGGCAAAGTCCTAAAAAGTTCAAGAGTTAAAGAAAATCAGCAGCTCCTTCTAGTAAAGCAGGTTCAGTTATCACTTTTTGGAAATTTCATCAGGATTAACCCTTTGACGGTTAGAGAAATGAGCAGTTTTCATTTACTTAATTCATGCAGTATTACGAGTAAAGAGTAGTCGAAAGTGACAGCTGTTTTGCCCCGCCGTTCTTCCAAAAATATCACCTTTCTCTGGTGATGCCATAAATAGCTCACTTCGCACGTTTTAAAAATTTCTTAAAGTATTTGTAGTACATAAATAACAGTTTTTGCATACTTTAAAAAATAATTAATAAATGATAATTATTAAATAGTAAATTATGAATTATTATAATCAATTATATAAATAATAGTTAATTATAAATATAAGACAAATATTAAATTGAAAGGACTAAATAAATATAACTAATGTAAAACTTTACGAAGCATTTAAATGCAGTAATTACCGTATTTTCTGGAAGAAACGCCGCAGCGTTTACGTGTTTAAAACTTAAATTTTCAGCGGGTGTGGCGTTTCTACCCATGCGGCGTTTAGGTGCACTAAAAATAAAATATTTCCTATGATGGTCATTGTACATAGTTTGGATGGCCTTGTCATTGTGCATAGATTGGTGCTGTTCCCACACAAAAGACCACTCAGTTGCTTTTTGCGAACGTTATTTTGTTTACGTTCTTTCCCTTGAACGGACCTACATGCCTTATTCACCCTAAACGAGATCTCAGAACAATAACATTCTTCCCCCTTTCATTCAACATTCTCATCAGTTTGAATAGTCTCTTTCCTCTGCCATTCGATGAATCTTCCTGGACCCATCCTCTTTCCACCCCCTGCCTTTTCTGCAATTTTTTTCAAAGGCGGACACGACTCCACCTGCCTCGCAATAACGAACTCTGACCTATTTCCCCTTCAGCATGAATGGATTTTTCTTGGCATTCTGCCAAATACAGATCTCATCAGTTAGGGTACAAGTACTTGTTGGATAGTTTTTAATTAGGGAGCGGAAAATTTTTGAAAATGTCTCTAAACAGCACAGATGCTATACATTTCTTACCTTTAATTTATTTTTGAGTTATGGTTTCATTTCATGCATTTTTCTTAACTGGTATGTCATAGGACTTAGGTTGAGCTTTTGCATCTATACGGCCCACGACGATGTCACGCACAATTTAATCTATTGCGGCGTTTCTGTGTAATTTTAATTTTTTTCCCGCCATTTTTCTCGAGTGCGGCATTTACGCTGATGCTGCCTTTCTTCCGGAAATTACAGTACCTAAAAATCTTTTTTGTGTGATATACTTTAAAACTAAGTCGTAAACTAAACTAACCAGCAAAACTAAATCGGCTAGGAGCGTGAGAACTTGCATCAATTTTATATCACTGTCGAACACTCGAAAATCTTCCTCATCGCTTGAATCGTTTTCTGAGCTTGATATACTGTAAACAAAGTCCTCATCAGACTCAAAATTTTATAAGCTTTCTGTATCACAATCATAATCACCATCATAATTATGTAACTTTTGATTTTGAACCATTTTACTTTACAAACATCTTTAAAAATGCACCAAAATATGCATAAAAAGAACAAGGTAAAAAAAAAAATTCCCCTTCATTATGAAAAGAAATTCATGGAACGCGTACTGTCATCTGTAGACAATAAAAGTAAATTTCATGAGTAGGATTCCTTTGTAACGTAATCAATGCAGAATAATAATGGCAATCGAGCTCAGCTCGTCAGCATGTATTGGGGAAAAATTTTACTACACGAGTAGTGCTCATTTCTAACTATTTTGGTCGAAATCTTGCTCCCGAGTGGAACTCATATGAACGCATTATGAAGCACGATTCGATTGCAAGCTGAACTCGTTCATAACCATCAAAGGGTTAATGCAGCAAACATTTTTGTACGGATTGTCAAGTTAACAAGATATGGTTTATTGAAATTTTTTCCATGTTTCCTTATCATAAATTGCATTTTTAATACTTTCAGTTGCCATTTTTTTAATTTTATACAAAGGCAGTTTTGGAAATCAAATACAGTGAAGTTCCTTCTTTAGAAACATTTTTAAATGTTTCTAAAGAATATTTTAAATGTTTCTTAATGAGACATGGCATTGTTGCTGAAAATGCTTTTGCTGTAACTTGGTACTGCTTTATCAGGATGATATCGTTATTTGAAAAATGTGCATCTTATTCCATTTTGCAGATCAGAGAACTAAAGAAATTTTATTTCTTCCTCTTCTTCTGAAGGCATTTCTTCGACAATCACCTTTTGTTGCTGCTTTTGAAGCTGTTTTAGTTGTTTCTTTTTGTGTGTATATTTTTTTGTGTTTCTTTTTGTGTGTATTTCTAGTAACTTCTCCGCATCTTTATTGTTAACTTCCTAGTCCTTGTTTTAGCTTAGAGACATAATATCATAGCAAACAAAAATGTTTTAAGCGTGAAAGTGCTCAAAAAGTCTCTGCCTGTGACTTAATCAGGCCATAATTTTCTCCAGGTGGAAATCGTGGTCTTCTAAGTCATTTGCTTCCAGGCTTTGTTAATGAGAGTTAAGCAATGAAAGATATTAAAACAATGCTTTAAAAAGTTATAAGTGTTAATTATGTGGCATAGGTTACCCCAGAACGTCTTTAAAAATCATATGTTTTTTTTTTACTTGAGTATTTGCAACCCAAGACACATCATCGTACAAGATTTTTTTTTTTTTTTTTTTTCTTTCTTTTTTTCATATAATTTGTTTGTGAAGTATTTGTGATTTAAGTTTACACTTTAATAGTGATAATTATAAATAATAGTGAAGCAAGTGTTCAAATTGTATATGTTTTATTCAGAATCTTGTAATTGAGAAGCATGAATATATTTTTGTTTCACCGGATAAATATATTGTTAGAGTTTAAATGATACAATAGATATGTCACATAGTTAATAATTCATTGACATCAGGTGCCATGATTTTATTCTTTCCCCTTTCCTTTCATGACAAAAAATCTGTCTTGGTAATTTTAAACGCATTATTTTATATAGAGAGATTAAATTTATATAAGGTTTTTCTTTAAAAAATGGAAAAATATTCATAAATACATGAAGATTAAATTTATTAAAGGTTTTCTTAAAAAGATGAAACAAAAATTATTCGTGAATCTGGTCCATTGAAAAGGTAATTCTCAAAAGTCCATTGAAAAGGTGATTCTTGAAGTGAAAAGACTTTTTTTTATTCAAATGTGAAATAAATATTTGTCTAAGTGTTATTAGTGTGTTCATTTATTTTCTGTTGAAGCTATGTTGTTTTTGCTTATGCTCACTTGTCTGACATAGTCAGCCCAAACCCATGAAATTCTTCGTGGCAAGGAAGACAAGATTACGCCTGCCGTTGGCAACAGCCTTGAGCACCAATCAGGTGACAGTGAGAATTAGCTCAGTTCCACCCCCAGTTTTGATGAAGAGCACCCGGGGAGATGAGTCCAAGGATCTCCCACCCCTTTCCCCTTCCACCAAACCACACAAGAAGACTTTCAGCTCTCCACATATTCAGAGTGCTGCCATGCCGCACCAACACTATACATTGACAAACATCTATGCCTTCTTTGCGATTCGAACCTGGGCCCTTTGGCACAGCAGTCGGCAACGTTAACCACTGTTCCGGTTGGGCAGCATTGAAGCTATGTGAACATTAATTTAATTTTTATTGTTGTTAATTCAAATAAAAATTATGAAAACTATTAGAACCAGTCATTCTGAATTTCTAAAACTGTATTATTTCTCTAGCTTGATACAAGCAACATTTGGGTGTTTATCAATTTCTGAACCAGCAGTCAATCAGGATATTTCAAAAATATTCAGAAGTGGCCTTAGGATAACAAAATGTAAGTTTAAATAACAAACCTTGTCTTGTCATCTGCTATCATCACCGGCTTTATATATAACATATCAAAATTCATGAAAAAGTTGTAACATTTTTCTCTATTTTTCTGTAGGTTTTAAAATTAAGATTTTCAGAATTTACTATGGAACTGTAAATAAAATTAATAAGATAATAAATAATAAAATTTATATAATCTTATCCTACATCATAGTATTTTCTAATTTTCTTTGAAGTGATGCAATTAAGGCATATTGTAATCAATTAAAGAATTTTCTGAATTAAAATTAAAAATTGTTATAGAAAGAAAACTACTGGCTTTCTAATTGCTGTCTGCAATTAATATTTTTAGAAGGTACTGTTAACTTATAAAATATTCCTCATAACTTTCCTTTGTATTTCAGTTAATATGTTACAGTGATGTTTGATAATGGAATTCATACATAAAGAATTCTGAACAGTTTAAAAAAAAAATAAATGAAGAGAGATTTATAGTCTAAAATAACTTGGTCTTATTTAGCATTTTCTAAGGAAATATTCAGAAGGGGTTCTTGTTAGACTATACACTATATGCATAATCTTTATTGGAATAAAAATAATTTTATATTGTACATCATAAATAATGATTAAATTCATTTCAATTAAAATAACTCCTTTTAAAATTCATAAAATTCAACAAATAATATACTACGAGGGCCATCCAGGAAGTAGATTACGTTTCCGTCTGTGTCCGCTAGGGGCGGGGCTAGCGCGGCCATCTTGGGGTCAGAGCGTTGCGCAGCTCAGTCTGCATCTAGCCGTGCTAGTGAGAGGTTCGTGCTGTGCTCCGTTCAGATACTGTGACGGTTTGAAATGTCTGCGTTAATTGAAAATCCCGCGAGGTGCGCTCAGTAATAAGGTTTCTGACTGCAAAAAACTGTAAACCGATAGAAATCTATCGGCAGCTTCGTGAAGTGTATGGAGACAACATTATCACTGAAGGTGGAGTGCGTCAGTGGGTCATAAGATTTCAAAATGGCCGAACCAATGTTCACGACGAAGATCGAAGTGGGAGACCCAGCCAAAGAATCTCTAAGGAAAAGAATGAAAGCTTCCATAGACGCAATGTAAACCTGTTTCGCCTCTGCGCCGCTATATCGAGGAGACACGGCTATGCAGTGAAACAGCAGCGCAGGGTGGAATTTAAATAGCGCAGTCCGAGGAGATAGTAAATTTTTTTACTTTGAAATTCCTCAAAATGTTTTATTTTCATACATTTCAGATAAATTATGTAGCTGATCTTTTATCGGGAAATTTTCCGTAACCGGCCCTTGGCTATGTTTTGGCCGCCATCTTGGTGGCGCGTTTTTGAAATCCAAGATGGCGGCCAAAATTGTTTTCCCTGTCCGAGGGAAATCGGACAGGGAAAACAACTCTGACCTACCAAACATGGAAAAAATAAGAAAACACGAACTTACCGAATTTATGGTGCCATCCTGAACGCTACTCATCGCTGTTCCTTCAGATATCATCCGCTAATTATCAGGATAACTGCAAATAATAAGAAAAACAAAATATATCTTTTTGCTGAGCACAAGTTTAAGAAATATTAAATGAAATTGTTTAAATTACATTAAATGCAACTGCTTAATGTTTTCAAATATGCGATTTGCTGAACTGCAAATTATAATAAAAACAAAATATAATATTTTTTTGCTGAGCAAAAGTTTAAGAAATAATAAATGAAATTGCTTAAATTACATTAAATACAACTGTTTAATGTTTTCAAATATACGATTTGCAGAAATCAGCTTTAAAAAATACAATTTCATGCTTTAAAACTAAGAAATATCTATCATGAAATCAATCAAGAAACCTACTCTTTTATAAATACATGAACTATTTTTATAAATCTAGAAATACTTGAAAATGCTTAAAACATACAGTAAAAGCAAAAAAAAAAAATTCTCAGTATCGTAAATAAGGGATAAATTAAGTAATCATGTTAAACTAAGAATTTACTTTATTCTCGTTAGAATCCTCTAACAATATATGAAATTAAAGTTAATTTATATCATAATATATATTAAATAATAATATAAAAATATTAAATTGTATTAATAACAAATTAGTACTTACTTTGTACACGAGACATCCTTTCCGCGCGACGTGACAATTTTGGCGCCGAAAGTTACGGTTGCAGTGAACGATGAACTCGGATCGTTAAGTTAATAATTTTGGCAAAATTTATTAAGAAGTTCTGCAAGTTCTTGTAAATAGAATTATTGAAATTAGAACTGCTATTTATTGCCAATAAACAAATATAAATTGTTACATAGTATAATTTTTCTTATATTCCTACTCTTATGTTTATTCACAATCTACATTTGATTATATTTAAGGCCTTGTTTTTACAGTTCAGAATGTATAATTAATAATACTGCTTTCTAATTTGATTAAAATAAAATACAGTAAGTTATTTCAAGCAGAATGGTATAGGTTATTTCGCTGCAAACAATTATACTAAATATACTTATTTATGGGTATTTGAGAATTTAGCGCCGAGCAGTTATTAATCTTCCATGATGCTCTTCTGTCTGCCTATTTGCAATTCTAAATTACATTTTTGGAAAGAAAATTTAATATAATATTATTAATATAAAAAGTATCTCTAAGCGAAGTGTTATTTCGCTGCTACACTATGTCTTCTGTCTGTCATTGTAGCTGTTAATGTCTACTTTGTCTGTCTGTCTGTCTCAATTAAATTAATAGCCAAAAAACTTGAATGATTTATTACTTAATTTATACGAATCATAATAGAACTATTTCCCTAAGCTGAATTCTGATAAATTAGCTCAGGGGCAGGATGAAATTCAAAGATCGTTGTATCTCTCTTTTTCATTCAATGCCTCTCAAGAAGATTTTCTGCTTAACAGATTTTAAATATTCCGATGTCATGTATTGGAGTCAACTAGCATGCCTTAGTTTCTGACCAAATGTAATAACATCTGACTTCTAAATAAGTGAATTCATAATAATTCACCTGTTTTTCATTAATGTATAGGTACTTTCTAATTAACGCAGACCAACTTAGGAAAGAAATGATTCTTTTGAGTACCTTACTTTCAAAACATCCTGGGCCGCGTATTTTGTCTGTAATCTTTTTGCATAGAAGATGTGCATACATCTCGGTTTTTTTTTTTTTATTATTATTATTATTATTATTATTATTCTCCATGCACATAACTATCTGTTTAGTCTTAAAAAAAAAAAAAAAAAAAGAGAGAGAGAATTGAACAATCTCAGCACCAGAATCAATCCTAAAATGTTAGGCCAAAAAGAGCTGCATGATGCCTTTAAGCGACCCACATTACTCTGTATATATACGCTAAGAAAGCTAAATGCAGGATTTTGCAAAAGATGATGAAAATTGCAGTATATGGTACATCACTATGCTAAAAGTCCCAAGACATCATAATCTGGGGGTCGATGCTACCTGCATATTTGGGCTGACAATTGAACACTTTTTAGCAATATTCTAGGTGCAAATGTTGCACATAAATGTTTTTTGGTGTGTTGCCTCATCGATACTTTTATGCAGCATTGTGATAGAGTGTAGATAATCAGAAAATACCATTTATTAATTTTTTACTTCTCTACGTGCAGTTTATTTAATTTTAAAACTTAAACTATGTGATGCTTGATGATCGTAATTTTCTCCCAAATGATTCTTTTGATTGCAACTTTTATATTTACTAATGATTACAACTTTATCATCAATTTCAAATTATTATTTCTAGTCAAAAAAATTGCTAACACTGCCAGCAGAAGAAACTGGTATGATTATGTTACCACATAAACATTACCTTTCGCCATATTTGAAGAGTGGAATCGCCTAAAACTTCGTGACTCGAACATCTTTTTAAAGCCTTAAGGCGGGTGAAACCCTGAATAATGCCTCAGTGTGGGATCCGTGAACCTGCAGTAATTACAATGCTGTTCGTATTGACACTTTTAAATCTGCATTCATGAGTACATTTCTGTACACAAAAAGAAGTTTTATTAAAAAATTTTATATGCCTTTATATACTCTATCATTAGAGATTGAGGTATTGTGTGCTGTAAGTCTCGTCAAGAGATTTATTATATAGAAGTATACACTAGAGTACCACCAACTCAACATTTCGTGTAACTTGGTTTTTAAACACTAAATTATTGCTGATAGTTATTACATTTTAAAATAATGTGATTTATTAATAACAAAAATGTAATAATTTCTAACATTGCAGACAGTATAAATACATTTCAATCATTGTATTGTTGTAATTTACAGGACTTATGAATATCCTTATGTTTTTCTGTTCTATTCAACGTTTTGTTATGATATGCTATTTCAGCAGTTTTTGTTGTTTTCTCTTTCTGACACTATTATTTGAAACCTGAAGAAAGTCAGGTGGACACTGCTGATTGCCATTCTCATTTCTTTCTGATGCTAATGGTCATTAACAGCAAATATGATAGACTAGCGGGCAAGCCCGCCAGTTATATATGTCTATTCATAAGTCGTAAATTCACTGGATATTGGCAATTTGACCAATGTTTCAATTTGATGCAAACAGGCTAACTGCATGGGTGTTTTCATGGTTTTCGCTGTGTGTGTAACATGGGTACGAGCCAATTTCTCTTATAAATTCCTCCTCAAAGGCATCCTTTCTCTTAGGCATATAGCCCTAGCATGCTGTGCCATAATCAAGTAAACTGAACAAAAGGCATCAGCATAAGGCTTGCTCAAAGTTCAGGGATGTGCTCTACTACAAGTCCAATTCTTCTAGGCAGAGTTTCATCCAGTTTTAGAAGTGTTTCTATGCAAGTGAAAATGATGAATGAGAAGAAAAGAAAACAAATCAACATGACAATGCAAATGACATTGATGCCTTAAGAGACTGGACAAAGAGGAAAGTATTAACAAAATTGCCGTGGATTAAGATGCTGTATGAAATACAAGTTGTGAATAGCCCATTCCTTCTTATTAATCCATTCAAATCAATATTTTTTGTAACTCATCACCCTGTCAGTCCACATTAAATTCAGTTTACAGGATTCGATTATTTAACTGTTCCGAATTATTTATTTTATTTGCCAACTTTGTAATTGTAGATTGCAGATTACTTTTGATTGCTTATTAAGTGAAGGTACCATTTTGGAACAATTTTAGAACAGAACGTAAAAATTAAAAGGAATCTAACAGTTGACCTCTGCAAAGGCATTCAGAAACCAGAACCATTCCTAGCGGGGGTGCAGCGCGTAAAAGTAGAAAGGCGGTTGGACTATTGCCATAGCACGCCTAAATATTTTTAATTCATTGTAAGTACTTGTCATATGTAAGTACTTTTTATACCAATTTATCATACTTGGTGAGTATGAAATAAAAAATTTTATTTATCATTGAACACTTTTTTTTTTTAATTTGGGGGTGGCAATCTTAGGAAAGTACGCGAACAGCCAATGACCTAAAAACAGCCCTGTCAGAAACTATATAAATTTGTAAAGGATGTGGATACCATTATTATATTATAAATTGTAGCTGGGTATCTTTCCCGATATATTCTTATGGTGGCTCGTTCTTTACTGTCATTTATCCATTACATGAGGTGCATGTCTGCCAACTCAGTGTTTATAAAATGGTGATCACACAAGAACTGGTACTTTCAGCATGGTATTGCAAACTTTGATCAGGAAGCTCCATTGAGAAACTTGACAAAGAAAAGTGATTTTTATTTATGTCATAAATAAAAAGCATATACATAATTATATGTAAAATTATAAAGAAAGACACTATATCCATTTATTTTATTGTAAAACAAGGCTGAGTGGGAATAATCCTTATTAATAGGATTAATAAGTTGTATATTTTGTCTATTTCACTATTCTCCCATCATTAGTGGCAAGTCACATTTCTGTAATTTATTTTTAAAAAACAATAAAACTTGGATATTTTTGTTTAAAAAATTTGTGATACTCTCTATATTAGATACGGATATAAATAAATATATACAGTTTCCACCCAAAAAATAGAGGCACACTTAAATAGCATCTGCATATTGGTTTTTAACTGGAATTATGTTTATGATACATGGTATGGTATTATCTCCATATATAGAGATAGTCTCATAGCATGTAAGCAAAATCACTCTGAGAGACCTTCATAAATACTGAGTTGTGCAGGAAATTGGTTTTGCTAAAGGTGTTCATTAAGAAATTAAAATGACATACGTTGCAATCCCCATGGACATATTGACCCATACTGTTCAAGCAATTGCTTGTACTAAGTAACTGACTGCGAATAGCCATCACTCTGATTCTTTTAGCACTCTAAGTAACTGTACAAGTGCAGGAAGGTTGTATTAAATCTAACTTATGTTTAATATGTATCTCCTACTTAGCTATAATATTTATGTTTCTATTAATCTATTATAAGTTTTGATAAACAGATATATCAAATCATAATTTCATGCTATTGAAAAGAAGAATTTGATACATGTAATCAACTTAAGAGAAAAGCATATATTGAATTTGATAAATGTAATCAATTAAAAGAAAAGTATACATTAAGTAAGACCGTGTTCAAAAGAAAAACTTTTTCTATATTTTCCCCCCTTCATAATATTTTGCTCTAAGTATGTTAAAAGAAAATATTTTTCTATAATTTTTATTCGTAATATTTTCCTCTAAGTAAATTGCTGTTAGCAATACGTATAGTTGATTTAATTTTTGATGTTCGATTTTTCTCCCCCTAGTGTAAGAAGATATATATGTATGTGTATATATGTAAGATATATGTATATAAGATTCATTGATTGTGTTTCTTTTCACATTACTCCACTCCTGTATTTGAAGCCAAGGATCAGTTTGTGGACTTAGAGGGTGGGGAATGTGATTTTAGTAAATTTCATTGGCATCTACTCAAACATTCAAACATCTGCAATGTTGTTTTAAATTATTCAATATCTTATGGCTTCTAATTTTCAAACACATTTAGAAATTACTTAGTTCTATGTTTGCATTCTTTTATGAAATTCCAGTTGGCTCTAGATGAGAGAAACTGTATTTTAATGCTTTAGCAAGCTTAACTGCTTTAACGTACCATCCAAAAAATAGAGACACACTTAAATAGCTGTCAATTATATATTTTGCGTTTTACCATAATATATGTTAGTGTCTTTTACTTTATAATGGTCTGTATGTATGTATGTATATTTGATAATGCATTAAGCATATATATATTCAGAGAATCATTTACAGTTGTGTTTACAACTAAAGGTATGCAGGTATTATATGTAACTTTTAGGAAATGCAAACTATAATGTAATTTTTAAAATTTTGCAGTAATCTTCAAAAATTTTGTGTATACTTTGATTTTAGGAAAATTCTGCTCATTATTTTAGCATAAAATTGTAATGATTTAATTTTTGGAAATCTTTCAAATCACTGAAGCAGTTTTTTCTTATTTCGTGTCCATTTTCTTTCTGAGCAAATGTAAAACGTTTATTTACGTTAGTTGTAATTTTGCTATGTAGACCTTTATGTACTGATGCATTTTACATCAGCCTTTTTTCAATGATTCCTTTTCCACATCACCATTGAGGTAGGAATCCAGATGCGTTTTTTTTATAGAGGTATCGCCAGGAGCCCTAATCCTCTGTCTTAAACATTTTTCAAACAAACACATATCTATTTGAAATCAATCAATACATAAAAGAAGAAAACTACTTACTTACCTATGAGATGAAGTGAAGCCTATGTGATGCCGATTCCAAAGTCCATTTTGCACAGCAGAGCTATTTTATTCTGTAAAATGCTAAAAGAGTGAACTTTACATAATGCATATCAATAACGATAAAATAAAATACAAACTAATAATGATTTGCGAAACACGGCAAGAATTATCTTCCTATTCGAAAAAAGTAATTCTGTCATCCAGCCAAGGGCGCTTTGCTGCTGGCATCAAATGCTCTATTTCTTCCGACTCGGGAGTAGGTGTGTCAGAATACTTCAACTCGAGCCTTTGATTTATGCCGCGTCCAAAGTCCACTTGAACAGCAGAGATGTTTTATTCTGAAAAAAGCAAAAAGAGTCAAATTTACATAATGCATGTCAATAACGATAAACTAAAATATGAACAAATAATGATTTGTCAAATACCCCAAGAATCGTTTTCCTGTTACAGAAATGTATTTCTCTCATCCAGCCGAGGGCGCTTTGCTGCTGGCATCAAATGCTCTATTTCTTCCGACTCGGGAGTAGGTGTGTCAGAATACTTCAACTCGAGCCTTTGATTTATGCCGCGTCCAAAGTCCACTTTAACAGCAGACATGTTTTATTCTGAAAAAAGCAAAAAGAGTCAAATTTACATAATGCATGTCAATAACGATAAACTAAAATATGAACAAATAATGATTTGTCAAATACCCCAAGAATCGTTTTCCTGTTACAGAAATGTAATTCTCTCATCCAGCCGAGGGCGCTTTGCTGCTGGCATCAAATGCTCTATTTCTTCCGACTCGGGAGTAGGTGTGTCAGAATACTTCAACTCGAGCCTTTGATTTATGCCGCGTCCAAAGTCCACTTTAACAGCAGACATGTTTTATTCTGAAAAAAGCAAAAAGAGTCAAATTTACATTATGCATGTCAATAACGATAAACTAAAATATGAACAAATAATGATTTGTCAAATACCCCAAGAATCGTTTTCCTGTTACAGAAATGTAATTCTCTCATCCAGCTGAGGGCGCTTTGCTACTGGCATCAAATGCTCTATTTCTTCCGACTCGGGAGTAGGTGTGTCAGAATACTTCAACTCGAGCCTTTGATTTATGCCGCGTCCAAAGTCCACTTTAACAGCAGACATGTTTTATTCTGAAAAAAGCAAAAAGAGTCAAATTTACATTATGCATGTCAATAACGATAAACTAAAATATGAACAAATAATGTTCCTAGTCGGAAGGAATAGATTCCTTGAACAAATCTATTCCTTCCGACTCGGGAGTAGGTGGGTCAAAATACTTCAGCTCGAGCCCTTTTTTTCCATACCCCGGAAAAACTGCTACGATGTCTTCAATAAATTTCAAAATTTTTTGTCCTTTGTTTGGTATTTTATCCAACCTTGTTCGACGATAGTAATGCAATGCCATAAATTGCGTCAACATTGCCTCGGAACGTCTGTTGGTGACATTTTTTTTTTTGAAAATTCTGTTCTCTCCCTCTAATGGGTTTATGGTGTTTGTTTTGTCATCAGCAGCTACATATTCTCCTGTAAAGAAATATATGTATAAATTAAATAACAAATGGGGTTTTAATTTTTCCTACTTAATTTAATTTTTCAATCTAAACCGTTACCTTTACTGTGATTCGTAGTTTTATGCTGTGCATTTTTGAACATTTTATGGACATCTTTATACTGGGCAGCTGAATCCGTGCATATAATTTTTGTGTCCGGATGGACAAATTTTTTTATATATGGCCATAAATCTGATTTTTTTTTCCATTCACCTAAAATAAAAATAGATATTGCTTAAATCAAACATTTTTAAATGTGCTTATACATTTAAGCTAAAACTTTAATATGAATTATTAAAAATTAAGATTTTGCCTGCCTGAAAAAAAAGCCCTTCCTTATCCTCGCGGCAATATATGCCAAGGACCGTTTCTGGTCATACTTTTTGTAACACGGCCTCTATTATATTTTCTTTTCGTTAAAAAAGTTTCATCCAGAAGAATCGTCTTTTCAGGTCCTCCTAATTTCTCGCTGTGGTGGGAAGGAGTATATTTCGCAGACTTCTCTGCAATAGGACATGAAGTCTGTAATTGTCTCTGTAGAAACAGATGGTAGTCCTTGTTCCTTACGCCACGCATCTAAATTCCATTTTATAAAAGTGAAATTCATATTTAATGCAAAATAGAAAATTATTAACAATGCCTCTCGAATAGCTATTTTAGTGCCCTGAAAAAATGTGTTCGCTGTGGGTCTGACTGTTCCCGAGCAATTCTGCTTATTTCTGTTTGAGCAGACGAAGCGCCAGCCCAATTTCGATTCCTTTCTTTTATTCTTAACTGTAACAGATTGACATTTTGGGCACAGCGGTGCTTCATTCTCTGCAGGCAGCATGCCAACTTTTGTTGCAAAATTTATAGCATCTTCCTCTGTCGCTATCCAAGTGTGCCCAGTTACGAAAGAAAAATTTTTAAATTTTTCGATAAAAGCGGAATCCATGCTGAAATAAAAGCAAACAATTAAGTAACACAATAATATTGAAATAGATGACAGCAAAAAGAAAACAGCAAAAGTTTTGTCTAAAAAATGTTAGAATGAACTAACTGCTGAACAGAACTGCTGATCTGTTAAAGGAACTTTTATATGCTCTCAGTTAATAAAACAGCTAATAAACAACCTCTGCTAGAAGCAGGAGGATTGGCTATCTACTCTGGGGGGCTGGTGTCTACATTTTGACGTCATTTTTCATTTGGTTCCCTATAGGACGAACTGGCTCAGTTGAAGGTCGTTTCTTATCTCTTTCAACCATAAGCGGTTGCAATTAAACTTAAGCACCTTTTTGTTCTTTTGTTTAGTTTGTTTTATGTTTTTGTGTTTTCAACAAAAAGTTTTATACTTATTAGAACATTAGTTTATAAAACATATGTTCAAAATTTTAATGTATTTTAAATTAAAAATTTTAAACCAAATAAATAACTATTTTAATTAAAGATTTAAAATGCTCCTTGCGATCCAATTTTACAATATTTTTTCCTAATTTTTCCGTAAACTTAGTTATGAAGACTTACTTTTAAGTAACTTAAATGTTATAACTAACTTAAAGGAAGACTTTTTTCCTTTAAGCTAGTTATAAAGTTTTTGTATGTCCATTATTGAATATTATGGATCAGAAATTTTAAAAAAGGATTTTTGAGAACTTAAACCCAGCTTTCGGAAAAATGTCACCTTTTGTTAAACATTATCACAAGTTTAAACTTCTTAATAGACTCAAATCCAAAAATGCATACACTGATTTATTGTAACTTATGAAAGATAGTTTCTTTCGAATATCATTCATTTTTAACTCAAAGTGAGAGGCATGGAGCATTTCGAAAGATACGAACTGCGAAAGAATTTTTTTTGAAAAAACCGAATTTAAGGTTTTTCTTCAAACTTACCTTATAAGTGCCATGAGAAACAGCAAATTAACTTTAAATGTGAATTTGGAAACAATAGATATCATTTTCATATCATTTCATTATTTTTAATCTCATAATATTAAATATGACAAAAAGAAACATATTGCAAATTGCTATGTGATTCGAAGTTTAATGCGTGTAGCATTTACATAAACAAAGTTAAATTCATTAATAGTTGTCAGTACTGACATTTGTAGCCTTCTTTTTAGAAATGAACACTTCTTTGGAGCAAATATAAATTATCAGTAAATAACTGTTGAAATAATTTTTTTTACATTTTCTCCAAAATTTAAAAGGCAAAGTTTACGTTGTTTACACATTTTAAATGCTTGTAACTTCTTTAAAAATTATAATATTTGAACTCAATGAAAATGATATCAAAAACTTCAAATGTTGAATTACCTATCCCGGTCAGTTTTTGTCATACGGGAGTCAAACTTCTAATTTATTTTTTCATAAGGACTATAAAACTTTAAGTATAGGAACCGGGAGACCGCAGGAAAAGTTCAGTTTCGTTATTTGACGAAAATTATTATTATTATTTAAGTTGACATAGCCAAAATATTTTTCGTCATTTAAATCACTTCTGTGATGGGGAGATATGACTCCGACCAAGGATTGCAAAAATAAAAGGCCGGTTATATTTTAAATTTCCGATCAATGCCAATGATTACATGTTTTTAATTTTTCCTTTTACAATTGAAATTTTGTTCTTCATGATGAATTAATTCCAGTCCCCGATAAAACATTATTAACATTTTACTTTCAAGTTACTTCAAAACATCTTTCAAAATATAACTTACCAGTATGGATTCACTCTTTTAAAATAATTCTACTTTAATTAAACTTAGGAGATAATATAATCAATTAATCAATATTGTTTAGGAAGGTAAATTTATAATATATATATATATATATATACACATATATGCTCTGCCAGTTGGAATGAAGAAGACAAATGCATAAAAGGATATTACAGCCCCATGCACAAAATTTTAACACTCTGCGACTAATCGTTTTGAGTTATGCGATATATGTATATACATGTATACATAGGTACGTGCGAACATACAGCTGTCAAGAGCAATTCCTTTTTGAATCCTTTCAAACCCATTTTACAATCCCTTTTGTAAAAAGAGTCCTTTATTCAGTCTGTACGTACAGACGTCACGCCAAAAAAAAAGTCCTTATGGATTTGGTTTGGTTTGTGACATTAAGGCAAAATCTCGAAGGCTATCTGCCTACGGGAAGGATTGCTTTCGTGGAGGACTTTCTAAGGGAAACTGGTTTGTATACGTGTTGCACATGGGGAAAACTACAAAGGCGCCCTTGGGAACCTTGGGCCGAACTACCAGTGTTCAGCGACTGTACCACTAGGCCGCTGGTGGGCACCAAATGGATTCGGGAACTGTCAAAATGGATATTTTTGTTCAAATATGATAACCGAAGTTTTCCGCGATTATGATTCTTTCTCTACTTCGTGCAAAGAAATAAAAAAGGGAACTTTTAATTTCTTAAAAAAGCTTTGTTTTCAAACAGCTACTACTTAAACAATCAATAATCATCACTTTATGTGGCAGGATTCAAATATTTAACTGTGCTTAAGAGCATTTGTATAACGTCATTCATCACAATGTCATATTCTGCCAATAATTTGACATCAGATAAAAGATAAGTTATGTATGTATCTGAGGAACTTCGTTCTATGTTCGCGAAAACCATTGTGATATATTTATTAAATTAGATTTGTTGTCTTTGGCCTTCCATGGTAACCGCTAATACTGAATGTCCAAGCCGGTTTTTATTATTATTATTATTATTATTATTATTATTATTTTCTTTTACTTTGATGCCAGGCGTGTAGCCAGTGAGGGAAAAGGGGCCTGTGCCCCCGGGCACCCTCCCTCTGCACCACTACCTATACTTAAAAAAAGGGCTAATTAATTTTCCATAGATAAAGCTTAAGTTTTTAAAATTTTGCTTGCCAGGTTCCCAAAATATTCATGTGATTAACAAAAAAATGAACGGAAAATCTACGATTTTTCATTTAGATCAGAAAAAAATCCTTCCTCAGCTAATAACTGGCGGGAAAATGCTGGTCAGTCCATAAGTTCCTGCACATTAAGAGTATGCGTGGTGAATCTGCCAGGTTTGCAGCGATGAAAATTAATAGTGTACATGATGAACACACTATTAGTGTAAGGACTGCCCAGAAATGGTTTAAAAAATTTAAAGTTGTAAAAAGCAGCATTGATGATGAACCCCATTTTCAGGATGTTTTGAACTGTTAGAACCAAATCAAAGGATTAATTCTGAAGTTTATAGCGAACAACTTTGCCGTCTAAACTCAAAATTGATCAAAAAACGCCCACGATTGGTGAATATCAAGAAAGTGTTACTTCATCATGATAACGCTAGACCACATACAGTCCTCCACGAAAGCTCAAACAACGCTGCAAAAAATTAGTGAATTTAATTGGGAGCTTTTGCCACATCCTGCTTACTCCCCAGATATTGCTTACTCCCTCAAAATAAAGACAAATTATTTTCTTCTGTTCATTATGGAAGGATTAATAACTCCGTTTTAGCGACAAATTTTGCTTTGTTATTCACATGAACTTAACAAAGATTATTGCGAACAATGTTGGTTAATTTCAAATGAGGATAGATGTACAAGAAAAGCGCGAGAGAAGTTC